AATACGGTCTGTATGAATAATAAATAGTTATATGGATGAAAAGGAGTGTAGAACTACAGAGCAGGGAAGGCTGCATTTGGGGAGGTAGTAGCTCTAAGAAGGAACAAGAGGTCAAAGAGGACAAGAATTTAGCACTATTGTGAGCTCCTGACTAGGAGTAACTGCACCCTTGGGTGGATAAATTGGAAGGTATAAAATAAGACCAGAAAGAACTCTAACTTTTTTTGACAACTGTTTATTTTATACCTGAAGCTAATACTATATATAGTTTTGGTGCTAGTCATCTTAAAAAAGGAAGTCGAAAGTTTGGATATAGAAAAAATACAGAAAAATGGCATCAAAGGAATTTAAGGACATAGAGAATGCCGTGTGGTGGGAGTGGCAGTTTGACCTGCTGCACTTGCAAAAGTTAGAATTGAAAAGTAAGTAGTATGTGAGTATCCTTGCAGAAAAATACTAGATTCTTTGAGAAAGAATACGTAAGAATGACTGGAAAAGGAAAGAATTAAAATTTGAAGTTAGACTCACCTTTTCAGTAATGCAAATTACTAAATAGTAGAAAAACTACAGCAGTGAATCTTGATCTTTTGAAGTTGGAAAAATCAAGGGTACCTTTCTGGAAGTTGTACCTTGAGCAAAAGCAAAGATTGGAGTTCATTTTGGGAATGGCTGGGTGAATTGAAATGGCTTCTGATGGGTAGAAGCCATTTCAATTCTGATGGGTAGAAGTTGTGTTGGATTCTAGTTTATGACATTCTGTTGAACGGTCTAGAAACGCTCCTGTGAACTTTAAAGAATTGTGGATGAGATCCTGAGAGCACCTATGGAAAAAACCTTATTCCTTACCTAATATATATTTTACTGTAGCAAATAAAACTGCAGCAAATAAAACTGCACAGATTGCTGAGAGTTTGGGAAAGAGATGCAGAGGGAAGATAGGGGGTCTATAGTAAAACTAAATAACCTGTCAGTTAATCTACTAAAGATTAGGCTGTTCTTGGGTGAAATGATGACATGTAATTTGGGTGTGCTTTTTCTAGCAAGAACTCTTTGGGAAATGAAATGCTAGGAAGTGGTGTAGCTTTTACCCATTTATATTTAAAGCTATATTTTTCTCATTTTATCAGAAATTAATTCTGTGGTATGGGACAAATTCTTTGTGATTTGTAGCCTCTCAGCACTGACGACCAGATGAGTATTTCTGGTTGCCTGCTACTCAGTGCAATATAGGTGATATTTTTTATATTGATTTATATAAGGGCAGTGAGACTTCCAGCCAGTGATTTCTCAGAGGGAAACTATTTGGGAGAGAGGGGGAGGTACGTGAAAGAGAAATTTATCTAGTAGAGGTGTCTTTGGGCTTGGCATGTTAAATGTGTCTTCGGTTGTGTAAGTAATTACGCGAGTAATTTAGCGTAGTCTTTAAATGACCTCGTAAAAGTATTCACACTTTAAAAGTACAAAACCTTTTCTTTCTCCTGAGACCAAAAAAAGCAGCAGGCACAAGATTAAAACTTCACAAATGAGAAGTGAGTGGGGAATTGGCAGAACACGCACGCTCGGAGCGGGAGAGCTGCAGTGAGTAGCGGCACAGGGTACATGTGTGGCTGACAGATGTTTTGGCTGGGCCAGAGGACCCAGGCACACCGTGGCAGAGTTGCAGAAAGCTGGGAAAATCTGAAGGGGACAGGGCACTGTGACCCTCTTTTCTTTGAGTTTTGTGCTCACTACAACGCTATAGTATAAGCAGGTGGTGCCTCTTACTATATTGGTGCCTCTTACTATATTGGGTTTCTATGTAGTAGCAGTAAGTGATGGTAAAAAGGTTGTTAGATCATCAGACACATCTCTTTTGGAGGGTAAGAGTCAGGCTTTGGGTTTTTTTGTCTGTATCTGAAAGATATCCTCCCCGTTCTGGCTTTGTGGCTCATAGATCCATGCTAAGTGAGGAGTGGCTCATTTCCCATCTGTTCATATTCCACTTAGTCCTCCCCTAATTAAGCAGCAGAGCCAGAGGGAATTCAATCTGGTATTTGCCATGATCTGTCTTCTCTCTGTCTCTCCTTTCTCTGATTATATTTTCCTTTTGGAAAAGGGAGACGCTTGAGTTTCATTCTTTATTTCCTTCCCAGTCCCCTACAGAAGCCTCACCTAGGAAGGAGATCCAGCAGCTGGGGATGGTGGTGGGTCTCTCTTGGCCAAGTTTACTGCTGAATGAGAGAGCAGAGGAGAGCCCTGAGCTGCTTTCTTTAGGCAGGTTCAATCAGGTTTTCTTCCAAGGCAATTTGTGCACAGATATCAGTAGTACAACTTATTTTACTCACTTTTTGTACAAATCGTCACTGAAATTTGTCTGTGTGTTCTCACAAAAGTCACCTGGCTCACAGCAGTGTTTTACCATGTACTGCCTCACAAAACTGCATTTTACACTAAGAAACAAGTCTATACAGTGTGTCTGATGAGCACTACTATATCTTTCTCATTATTGTCAGCATTAAGATAAAGATGACTGACTTAAAAACTTGGTTTAGATAACCTCAGACTAAGTTAAACTTTTTTACTTATCTAAATGTGTCTAAAATTTAATTTTAAAAGAGAGGACCCCACAGTTTTTCCACAGTCTTCATGGTGTAAAGTGGATATTGAACACCACTCATGGTGTTGCTCCTATTTTTGTCTGAGATTTCTTAGCAGTTACAGGTTTGTTAATGGCTGCACTTTAAAGAGGCTTAAGTGCAGGACCTTCTTGGCCATTTTATGTGTTAAGCTACGAGTCCAACAACGAATCTCAAAATGCTTTGATCTATACTTAACAATGTTGGGTCAGACAGGTAAGTTAGCTTTACCTAAAGGGAAGGATTGTAGTGTTTTTAAAAGTAGTTTTAAATAGCCACATTTTTTTCCCTTTTGAAGCCCCTAAACTTTTCTAGTTTGATCCTTTCAGTGAAGCTGTTCCTTGATCTTAATTGCTAATGATTTACCAGTGCAGGCCAATTCTTGTCATCTTTTTATTTCAAGGTTCATTGTCATGATCAGGCAACAGTATATGTATTTTATTGAAGACTGATTTCTAGCTATAAGCAAATATATCTAGTAGAGTTGGGAGGTAAGGTACTTTGCATCATACCTAGAAGCTTTACTTTAGAGGGAATTTGAACTTTTCTCTGGTCACAGTAGTGAGTTACCCATTGCAAATAAAATGTCCACAGACAAAACTCGGCCCTGCATTTATCAGCACAAGAAAGTGGTAATGCAATTATCAGTAATCAGCACAATATGATGTAATTAGATTTTTTCAGCTTTTTAAACCATATTTATTTAATAAATTTATGCAAGTATAAAAATAAAAGCACAGAAAATAACCTAATATCCTAACTAATATACTAACAATATCCTCCACATTCCACCTTCTTTCCAAGTTCAGAGGCACTACGTTCCATATCTGAAGGGGAGCATTATATTGAGAGAGTTATCACAGGAATGGAGAGTTAGTAAAAATAAAGTGTCAAAGAGGTTGTTTAATTAGAGCTTGTTTTTATCTTAAACATGTTTAATGTTTAAACAGCTGCTCTTAAAATCTAATTTATTATTAGAGTCAGAGTACTACAGAGAGGGCATTTGGGTTACCTGTGTGTGTAAAGGTATAAGGTGCTGCTTAGCATAAAGTTGGTTGGTTTATTCTAACAAATTAATATGCATGTGGTAAAATGATAGCTGTATGCATTCTTAATTAAACTTGATATAGATAACTCATAATAAAATAGCCATCTGCTAAAAAATAAATGCATCGCCATTTCTAACCCATTAAAGCATTAAGAAACAGTAAAGGGTGTGCTAAATAATTATCTAGAGATGTATTACAATCTCTTGATAGTGACATTTTTGGTGTGATAGTTGTATTTACAAATTAACGGTACAATGAGGAGCGGCAGCAGGAGGTGAGCTTTCTGCTACTAGTAGGAATACACCAAATGGGAGCTGCAAGTTTATTTCATAAACACAGAAGTTTTCCAGCAGCGTGTGATTGACTTGTTGAACCTCTTCAGAGTATGGTCCATTTTTGTGGAAGTACACACGGGGTGTAAGAACATTTTTGTGTTTGCTCATGGCTGTGCTACTGCTGTTGCTACTTATTTAAAAGAAAAATAATGGTGTGATTCAAGTATGTAACAATAGGCATAAACTTACTGGTAAAGAAAGATGTTTCCATCCAAAAGTAAGTTGTTATACTTTATCTAATTTATTATTACTATTTTTAAATATTAAAAAAATTTATTTGAATACTTATTTTCTGAAAAAAAAGCAGAGGGCTATTTTTGCTACTGTTGAAGTGCGAGGAGTCTCAAGCTTCAGTCCAGAAATGATCACTAATCTCTAGTGGTTTTTCTTCTAACTATATATATGTTAGCTAGTCTTCCCCTGTTGAGTCTGTAGGAGGGTACGTCTATTTTACAAAAGGAATAATTGTACAATAACATTACGTGCTTAATACTAGATGGGAAATCATTGGATTAGCTCTGGTACTAGAACTCTGAAATCTAGCTGTGATCTTGTGTATGTACCAGATCACACTGGATCAAGAACAGATCCTGCTCAGTTTTAAAGTGATACTTCTACTATGGATGGATCCTCTATTTATAGTTATTATGATGTAATACAGTGTTCCTTTTGGATTTTTAATTACTGTGTGTTTTCTTCCCAAAAGGTGATAATGTATACGTAACAAAGTGCAGTAAGTTATCACTCAGCGTTGAGAAGCACTTCTGAACCACAGACAGTCAATACCTTCCCCAAACATTCTTTTGTTCTCAGAATATTTTTTAAGTGATTTGTCAAGATAATGATTATAATCTGTGATTATAAGCTTTGCAGAATGTCGCTTGATCAGATGTATTAGAAAAGATTAAAAAATAAATGTAAATGGTATAAATTTTTTCGAATTAAAAGTTGCATATTTTTGTCTGACTTGATGCTTTTTTTGTTTTTAAATCAATTGACAGAATTCATTGACAAGAAGTGCTCCCCTTGCCAATGATTCCCAAGCACGAAGTGGTGCCCGCTTTCATACGTCTTACGACAAAAGATATATCATCAAAACTATAACAAGTGAAGATGTAGCAGAGATGCACAACATACTGAAGAAATACCACCAGGTAATACACTGATTATTATCAGGGCATGGGATCTCTTCTTAAATATTATAATGCCAGTCTTTTTTAGAGTATTAAAAGTTTTAAATTAATAATTATGGAATAAGATTCACCAGGTTTTTCCCTTTTGCACGAGCAATTATTATATGTTTGCAGTTCACAAGGCTGCACTCTTCTAAATATCTAGCTTTAAGTAAAATGGTATGTCTGTATGATACAGAGACTAACTCAGAGGCCATAAGCTCCTTTGCCTTACTAGGAAGATGCCCTTTCTTTCAGCTAGCCCGAGGCTTGAAGCTACTTTATCCTGGGCTAGCTTGGAGATGTCTGTGTACATGTATATGAACAATGCAGTTGACCTCCTTCTTCCTGGTCTGGTCACTGAATGGTCTGTGTTTCACTTAAAATAGATTTCAAACAATAAAAGTTTTATTGTATGAGAAATGAAAAATCAAGTATAATTAACGTAAAATTCCTGCTAATAAAGAAACAGGTTTTGCCAATGTGAAGTTCCATAAACAACAGTAAAGTCAAAAGTGAATATTGGAGATCTCTCATACAGTGCCAGTGTGTAATTTGTGTGGATGGCACAGGGGGGAGAGGGACAGGGGAGCAGAACTTGGGAAATATGAGAAGCCTTAGTAAAATCAGTGCTAATTTTCTTAGCCCCGGATCTGTTTGAATAAGCTCTAAAGTTGCACTAATCAGAAAAGCCTCTAAAAATCATCTAAAATATGATACCCAAAAGGAGGGAGGGGGTTTTATCCTTCCTTCCATCTTCCTGCTCAGTTCTGGGGGTTGGAATTTCAGGTAAAGACTTCAGGTTATTCATAGGTGAGAGGTTTTTGTTGTTGTTGTTTTCAGTGGTTTATTCTTTTGTCTCACAATGTTTAATAATTTTCTGATGGCTTCCACCGATGTATAATAGGAATCTTAATTATTTATTTTTTTTAATACTGTTACTTTTTTAAAACCTGTTTTAAAACCATCTTTTGAGGTGAGAGGGAGGCAAAAACGTGATTTCAGGGTGCTTGGAATTGAAGGTATTGCCAGCCATCTTTGTGGTGCTGCTTGGCAACCTCCCTCTCTGCTCTTCCTGTGTTGAAGGGAGATCACCAAATTCCCTCCAATTCTAGAGTACCTTGAGAAGCCTTTAGAGAGTTAGATATGAACTCCCTTCTCTCTCTGCATGTTAATTTTCTGTTAAAATAAAATGTAGGACCACCGTATGTTTGTTTAAACATAGCTATTGTCAGTATCAGAAATGTTCACAAGACCACCTTTTAATTACTATTTTACCAAAGATTTTTAAACTATTATCTAATTGTAATTTGGGGGTTATTTTTTATTAGAGTTTTCAGACTTACAATTTTAATTTTGATCTGAAAGGATTTTGATCTGTGAAGCAGTGCAATGGAATTAAAGTTTTAGTCTGTTTCATATTTGGCATTAGAAGCGAGTATTAACGATCCAGATTTTGAGACTTAATCCAGCTGAAAAGTCATACTGCTTTTCAAAACAGTCATCTCCTTTCATGGGCGTCAATGAAGATAGCGATAACATGAATGAACTTAGATCATTTGGAATCTTTTTTGTTAGTGCTTTCAGACGTCAGGGTTCATAATAAGGAATAATGACCTGAAAGTTATCAGTACCAGGCTTCTGACTTCACTTTATGTTGGAAAAACATCCATATAAGAATGGAAGCATGCACTTACTTAGTATTAGTAATATCTTACGCATTATTGCTTCAGTATCTTTCAGCTTGAGTCTGAAAGCATTCAGTGATGCCTCCAAGAGATTCATAAAGATATGACTTGTATTCCTTTTTGTCTCAGAAGTTGAGAGCACTTTATAAAGTGAAGTAAGTGCTGAGCAACTCAAGTACAGACATAGTTTAATAATTTAACTTTTTAATTAAATAAATTAATTTCAGTATCTTCAGTAATGTGCTGTTAAAAGAACAAAATCGTTGGAATTAATTAAAGAAACTCTAAATTAATTGCCGCTAATTCCTGTGACGGCTAATAGAGTGTCCTGTGTGTTGCTCCTGGAAACTGAATGCTTGCAATCGTTAGGTACAGCAGCTTGTCCTCCCATTTCTCTAGATGTTTTTCAGGCAAAAGAAGCTTATCTTAGCCTACTGGACAAAGTCTAGGGAACCCATTGTCCTGGTGGAAAGGTTTTAATTCATTCTCTTGAGCAAGTCATCTCACACAGATGGGCCTTACACTACATTTCTACTCAAAACAGTGCAATGCTAGATAGCAGTCATTGGCACTGGAGCTCATTAATGGTCCCTACTGTGGTTTTGCTTTGGGCCAGCTAGCTGTTTCCCAAATAATTCTGGTCAAGGCTCAAGGTATTAACTCAGACCAGTTACTATTGCTGCTTGGGATTTTGAATATGACCATCTTGTTCAATTTGGATGCAAGTCTAGGCCATCTAGGCTGGATGGGGCTTTGAGCAACCCGGTCTAGTGGGAGGTGTCCCTGCCCATGGCAGGGGGGTTGGAACTTTAAGGGCCTTTCCAACTCAGAACCATTCTGTGATTCCATGAAGTTATTCCATTCCAACTAGACCTGATCCCAGAGGACAGTCCAAGACTCATCTAATTCACTAGTATGGATGTAACTTTATGGTTCTGTGGGATGGCTTAGTTGTTACAGTAGTAGAAGGCTTTTAAGATGCCACACTGGTACTCCTGTGGAAATCTTTGTCAATAAAACAAGTTCTCTCAAGTTCGGTTTTCAGTTCTTCTGCCAATAGAGTAAATACAGAGTTCCCTGTACTGATTTACATATCTATCTTACTGCTCAGTATCTTCCTTAATTGTAATTGTTGCTCTAGTTGAAGAGTCTAATTGTAATTACACACAAAAGTAGCACAAACATGGGATTTTTAGGGAAAAGTCTGCTTATCAGCTTTTCTCCAGTTTCAGTTCACTGACCCCCAGCAGCACTTAAACACGTGATAATTTCTGGCCTAGTTAAGTTTATAGATGTGACTGTTTGAGACTCGTAATGGAGTTCCCTTCCATCATACCCTGTGTGGTCTGCTCTTCAAGCAGAGCTGTATTTGAAAGGTTCAGCCTTCCAAGGAAGAGAGCAAGCAGACGTGTTCGGACCCAGTTACATCGTGCAGGGATCGTCCTGGGAGGAATAACCTTTCTCGGGAGGGTAATTCGTGTGAATTTTAGAAGACTGTTTCTCCCTTGCCAGAGGTCTAGTACCCCCAAAGGACCTGGAGTTAGATCATGTATCCGTTAAGAACAGTAACTTGTAAACACTTGGTATCTTGCACCCTCTTTCGTCTGTCCAAGAGGGCAGTAATTATTTTCCAGGTACCTCTGACACAAAACCTGGTCTTGTGAGAGGTCTCCCTGCCCATGGCAGGAACTAGGTAGTCTTCAAGGTCCCTTCCAACTCTAACCATTCTATGATTATGAGTGAAATTCATGCCATTTATGACAGATCATCTCTTTCCTCTCTCTCTCCCTCTCTCTCTCAGGCTTTTTTTAACCTCCTCTACAAATTAATTCCAGATTTCTTCCATGTGTTGAAACTCTGAATGAGTTTCATTTAAACCATAATATTTACTCACCTGTTTCCTTATTAAGGCTAACAGCTCCAGGCTGATAGAATCGTTTGAGACCTTGGAAGTACCTCGGTCCTTCCTTAAGGGCCAAACAAGCTTTATCAGATGTTTTCCAAGACTTCTTGAACTGCTTAACAATAAAGACAAGAGGACAGCTATCTTTAAAAAAAAGAATGCTGGGGAGGGGACCATATCAAGTGAGAAGTGTGAGAGAGTGGGTTAAGCTCTTGATCAAAATAGTCTTCATCCCTGGGACTTGCAAGATAGCGGTCTTTCTCCTTGCACCTTTTTGAATGATGAAGCTATGGTTGATGCATCTGGGAGTTTGTGTGGTCAGCAGAGAAATGTAGCAGGGCAGTTTTCCCATGAACACCTCAAAATCCATCTCCAAGTACCAATGATTTTTGTAAAGTCACCAAAAGGTCAGAGAGAGACGTATAGACTGCCACTGGAGAGTAGAAATAAAGGTTATTTTATCAGCAGCTGGAGGTCATGGAGATGTATATTCCACAAACCCATGCAGTTCTTTCTGTCCTTCCTCTCTCCATCTGTCTGGAGGTGCAATACCCTCTCTCTTCTTTGAAGCTGTGGGGAACTGGGGCTGTAGTTACACAGTCTGTATACTTAAGTATTAACAAAAGGAGCAGGAATTGTGCATAGCCTGTAAACACTTCTAAGGCTAAAAATATACCAAGTCTAGTTGCCTAGGTTTTAATTAACCAAAGTTATAATGGACATAACTGTACACCTTGAAGAAATCAGATTATTTTCAGGAACAGAATGGCTGGTAGCTTGTTAGGAGTGAACATAAAATAAGTTAGCTTGGCTGAGTTATTAATTTTCTTATTTCTATTGCAATATCACATGGCATTTTTCAAAAGTAACCAAGTTAGATGCACCCCAATTCACAGCATTATTACTGCTATTTAAAATTTAAAAAAAAAATATCAAGAGTAAAACCAAAAAGATCAAATTCTAAGCCTAAACCTACATACTAGAAATGTGTAAATAACTAAAAGTGAACCAGGCTTGAAGGAGTGTCAGGAGAAGTTTCTATAGAAACAGCATATAAGTATAGATAGCAAATCCAAATTAAAACTGTTGAATTGTAAATAATATTCCTGACAATTGTAAATTATAGTTACTATACAAAACTATGAGTTGCATTAATTCATTTACCCTGTCTGATGTGATGCCTTTTTTTTTTTTTCCTTAGTGGCAGGCAGGCCTACAACCTCAGACAGATGGTGAATGCTTCAGTCTATCAGTCTAAACACTGACGCTTTCTGTCAACTCATCAGATGAGTCTGACGCTTTTAGTACTGAGTAGGAACACTAGAGATCATTATTTTCTCTTGCAAAGTTTTTTTTAAAAAAAAACAAAAGCCTAAAACAAACCGCTAAGC